GTATAAGAATAAATAATGAGGTATTTTAATATTTCTAATGAACAAAAGGTCCTAATCTACACATGTGACTAATCAATATTATGACTACTTATTGACAGAGGTGAACATGATAGAGTTCATAAATTTTTGTAATAAGCTTTTACTTATGCCACATGTGCATATAATTTATAGTTTTTATAAGTGATTCAACTAAAAAGCCTTATTATTACTGTTTTATTTCTCTGGTAGGAAGTTTAGAGTTCAGAGAGGGAAAGAGACAAGAAAGACAATATCTTAGAGTCCTATGTATCAGACATTTAATGTGATATATTCATGCTACCTTAATATTTTAGCAGAGGCCTCACGTATTGAAATTAACCCAACAAATTCCAGCTACCCCACATTCTGAAGTATAGTGCTATATTACCTCTGCATGGCACATTAGGATGTAGCACTGATTGTTTCAGCATTAGCAATCATCCACCTGTAATAATTTATAAAGTCAAGGAGAAACTTTATTTTGAAGAAATATGTCAGTGCTTTTTGCACTACCAATTAATATTAAATTGAAGGACAAAACAAGAATTTCAAGGTGAGCACTCAAAGAGATTAGTATATGTCCTATTGAGTTTGAGGATTAAAAGAACATTTTATGGGAGACAGTGGCTAGATGACTTAGATCTGAATGGCAGTAGATCAGTATAATAGGTCACTAGATGTGGTTCAATGTTTCCAACTACAGTGGCAGTTTCAAAAAGCTTATATTCTATGTTTCAAAACTGGGTCATGTAGGAAGAAGCTGGCTAGAGTTTTCTACCTTTCTTTTCTATTTCTCTTTCTGTTTCTCTTCCTCCTCCTCTTCTTCCTCCTTCTTAGATTTATGAGTCCTTTTTGTACTAGGACTAAGTCTACTGAGCTATACTGCTACAACCCTAGCATTTTATTTTCTAGTTTGAGCCAGGATCTCCTAAAATGCCTAGGCTGGCCTCCAAACTGAAACTCTCCCCACCCCCAGCCTCCCAAGAAGCTGGGATAACAGGTAGATGCCACTGTCCACAACTGGAGTTTTCTTTATAAAAGAATCTACCAAAGCTTCCTCACAGGAATTGTAAATTTATCCTGATTACCTGGGGAAATTAAAAAAAAAAAAAAAAACCAGGACCTGCTTAAGGCTTAAACCTGCTTGAGGCTTAAAAGGATAGGTGAAAGCGATATCACTTTAATTATAAGAATCACATTCATAGTTTTTCACCAAGGGATGTATATCTCCCACCCACACATGAAGGTGTACATATAGACAGGGAGCCAATAATTACATTGCACATGTATCCTGAAGATTTGCTCAAAATTAAAACACAGTGCATTCAGTTTTCCTTCTTTTCTTTTTTTTTTTTAAAGAGAGAGTGAGAGAGGAGAGAGAGATAGAGAGAGAGAATTTTTTTTTTAATATTTATTTTTTGTTCTCAGTGGACACAACATCTTTGTTGGTATGTGGTGCTGAGGATCGAACCTGGGCCGCACACCCAGCGCGTTACCGCTTGAGCCACATCCCCAGCCCCAGTTTTCCTTCTTTTCTGTGTCTTTGTGCCTCCAAGTTTGACGTGTCTATAAATTGTATAGTGAATGGCAGTGAAGGAGTAAAATGGTAAAGTCTGGAAAGAAAAAATCCCAGTGCAAGCTTCACAGTCTATAGTAGGTTTTAATTGATGGAGGAAAGACAATTTCCATTGGATTAAATTGTAAAGACTGTATTATTACCATAACATGAGTCAAGCTTTAATTAATGAAAATAAGTTTATATATTTAGGAAATACCACCTGTTGGCAGGGAAAGAATAGGCCAAAGAAAAGTTGAAAGGGACTGATAAAAAAAGTTAATTCTATCCAATTTATCAATACACTTTATGTTAGTTTCACATAGCTGCCATAACAAATTACAACAAACTTGGTAGTTTAAAACAGCATTTATTGAATCTCTCACTGTATGGATGCCCAAATTCACAAATGAAAAGTTGAGGGTGATAAGTTCTTCTTGGAGGCTCAGAACAGGAAAGCATTCTAACCCTCAGAACTGTTGACAATGATCCCTGGTTTATAAAAACATGACCCCAGTCCCTACCTCCATCAGCACCTCATGTTCTCTGTCTGTCTGGGTTCAAATTTTCTACCTTCTTGTAAGAACACTAGTCTCTGGATTAGGGTTCTTTGTAATTCAGGGTGACTTTATTTTATCTTGATTACATATACAAATACCTTATTTTCAAATAAGGTCACATTCACAGGTTCCAGGAGAACATGATTTTGGGGGAAAAACTATTAAGCCCTATAGATGTCAAATATTTAGATATAAAATAAATGTTAATTAGCATCTTGAAATAGATGCATTATGATTTCATGAATTTTAATTTTATATTTATTCTGAAATTTGTAAAATTATCTACATATTATATCAAATTACCAATAATAGTATTATCTCAAGTTTCATACAGCATATAATATCTCCTATATTTTATTTTTACCCATTACTGAAAAAGTGAACATAACCTTTACTTTTAAATTTTAATTTGTTATATCTGACAACAGGATGCATTACAATTCATATTACACATATAGAACACTATTTTTCATATCTATGGTTGTACACAAAGTAGAGTCACATCCTTCATGTCTTCATACATGTACTTAGGGTAATGATGACCATTGCATTCCACCTTTTTTCGTACCCCTATGCCCTTTCCCTTCCTGTCCCTCCCCTTTCCCCTTTGCCCTATCTAAAGATTATTTAATACTCCCACCCGCCCACCCCGTGAACACAACTTAATATATCTTAATGACTTCTTCAAAATAATAATGTAGGAAAAAGTAGAAGAGTAGTGTTATGTTACCATAATTATACATTTTTTCACCTATTCAGCAGCAGCAGTACAGATCACAATCTCAGATAGGCCATCATTTCTCAGCAACAGAGTTAAAATTTTAAACAGCAAAATTCTATGTCTCAAACAATGCATCATCCCTGAGCTACAATTCTCCATCAAGTAATTAGTAATTCCTATTATATAGTAATTATTATCAACATTTTTCTAAGGGAGGAAAAAAAAGAGCTTACAGTAAATTGAATTTTTGAAATATCTGTTTTAGTTCAATATATTTCAACATCAGCAGCTTGGTCTCAGCACATATCATTAGCAGCCATCTCAATAGATACAGTTAATTATCACTATTTCTTCCAGATGATGAATACTAAATAGAATATTTGCTTTATTATAAGGTTGAAAACTGTGCTTTTGATATGAAAAAGATATCACTGAAATTACAATGAATTGGCATCTTCATGGCTTTGCTAATTCCTGCCTGAAACATGCTCAGTACTTTTATTATCTAGAGACTTTTTTTTTCTCCCTCACTAATTATGGCCATACTGCTAATTATTTCAAGAGTCATTAGTGGTCATTGATGCTATCATATAAACAAGACTTAACTTTCAAATGTAGCTTCTTGTGACCTACTGAGATGTAACACTTTAATGGATGTTTATTGAAGGTTACCTTTGTTCTTTGTTAAATGCATCACAGTAAAGATGTTTTCAACTTGATTATGCATTCGTGAGTGTTAAAACAGAGAGATGTAGTCACCAGGGCTGATGGGAAGAACTCTATTTAATAGGACCTTAGAAAAAGTAAAGGACAGAATCATTCCTTCTTTAAAATAGAGGTGGCTTAGTAAATGGGAATTGCAATATTACTTCTATGCACAATCTGATTATCAATGAAAGTACACTGAATGAATTTTCAGAGGGCATTTCTTTCTATCATGGGAGTTAATTTTATATATATATATATATATATATATTAGAGTCCTTGTCATTTTCTATTCAAGGATATATAAAGGGAATGCATTTCCACATGACAGTTTGTATATTCAGCAAAAAGCTAGTTGTAGCCTTTCTCTAATATCCTATAATCCATGTACTGAAGTAGAAATAAGAAAGAAATATGGATTAATTTGACAACTTAGGGAAATAAGAATAAAAGAATATTTTATTATAATTCAAACTAGAAAATCTTGGCAAACATTGTTAGCATTTTTTATTTATAAAATTTATTCCAAATTGCCCTGTTCCAATACTGATTGACCAAAACATTTTTAAAAAAGAAAAAAAAGATATAAAAAAATATACATAGCTAAGACAGAACCTGAGCACATATGTCATATGATCTAATTTAGATAGAGATATGTTTAGGACCATTATACACAATTATACACATTATTTTATTGCTTAAAATTATCTTCCATTCATTTCATCGTAATGGAATCAGAATATGAAAGAAACTTGACAATTTTAGCAAACTCGTATTCCTTTTTTGTAGAAGAAAATATTTCTCTATTTAAATTTTGAATAATTTTGTGTAAGATGTTATTGCAACTTTCAGTCAGCATTTTCTGATATTTAGAAGTATAATGTATCATAAATGATGATAAAGTAGATCATTTAGACTATTAAATGATAAAATGAAATACAATGCCTTATGCTCAGCTATTGTTGTGGAGGTTTCATAGTACCTTCACTGAAATTACTCCATTTGGTCCTCAAAGAAACTTCTTTAGGCAAGCAGCAATGTTTTCAGTATGGATGCAGGAGACAGGACTGCTTTTATGAGGTTAAATAATTTGAGATCACAGACCAGTAAAATGTCAAGTGCACTTTCAAGTCTTCTGAACACTACTTCTACTGTATCAAGTTGTCTGTTCTTATGTGGAGAATACTGTATTTGATAGACAGTTGTTAGGGATAATGGAGCATTGAGTTATGAAGAAATTAGTAATCTATGTTGAATGATAATGACAAATAAAAGTTTAGGGAAGAGAGATTGATTGTCAATGTGAAAGGAAGTGGGTGGGGTGGCACATGGAAGAGTAAGAAAGCGGTGGTTCAGAGGGACTCACAAGTTTTCTAGAAAACAGAAGTCCTGAAATGGTTGCTTCACATTCTTCTCACCTCTTCCATCTTTCCATCTTCAGTCTGATGATGCAGATAAGAGACAGTTTTACCAGAGCCCAATGTGCCCTGAAGTCATGGAAGAGAGTCCAGTTGGAAGAAGCTGCAGTTTTGGAAGGATGCACTATTTTCCATAATGTCAGAAGTGATGTAGGAAAGAGGAGGCAAAATCATCTCTACTTCTCTTTTCTTCTGTCGTCCAAGGGCTGGATTCATCCGGGTGAGCCTTTTGGGTTACCAAGCATGGTGCATACTGGGTAGATCGTGGCTAGTCTTGTCAGTTTCTTAAAGTAACTTTGATTTTCTTGTGCTATAGTTTCCACACCCCTCTCTTTCTCTTTGGAGCTTGAATACTAATTACAATCATCTTAATCTCATTCCAATCTCATGTTTAAGGTCAGTTAACATAAGCAAACTTCTGAATTTCATATTAAGTAACTCCTAACAGAAGACAATCCATGAGAATTAACTCTCTAGGGAATATAGGCAACAGAAAAGAGAAACTTTTAGAGTGAACACATCCCTTTGGTAGAGTGTATTGGAGGAAGAAGAAGGAATATTAGAGAAGAATACCTTTCTGATGTTCTTTGACAGTGTACTGCTTCTCTTTAAAGGAGATAGTCCATGACTAAGTATAGAATCAGCATTGCCATTCAGATCTCTCTCCTTTCTGAATGCTCTGGTATTACATCCACTCTGAATATTTAAAAGCTCTGGTTCACCCTGCTGCGATGGCTTTGGCTTTCACAAGGAGGTTTTGATTGTGAGGGGAGGCAAAAAGACCTAACTGCCATGCCATTATTTAGTATTTTTATTGTTCACAGACATTTCTTACTTTTATAGTCTCCCTGCTGATTTTCATGATTAATGGATGTCTCTCTCTCTCTCTCTCTCTCTCTCTCTCTCTCTCTGGCAACTTTTGAATAAGTAGTAGCCTGAATGGTTATAACTATGGGTTGCTCTTCTATCCTACCTTATCTGCCTGGAAGGCTAGTACAGATAAAACAGTATAAGGCATGTGGGATGTTCCTGTAATTACAGAGCAAAATAGGATAATAATTTTTAAAAATTATTATTTGACCTGAAGTTGGAAAGTAGATTTGAAACACATAAGTGGTAAACAAAACCATGACTGTCCTCTATCGTAATATGCTACTGGCAAACAAATATTTTTGGCTAATGGAAAAAGAAAGCAATTCTCTGTTCAAGTTCTCTGTCAAGAAGTCATTTTATTTGTTGATTGGGTTATTTGTTATCTTATTGTTTAATTTTTTGAGTTCTTTGTATACTCTGGATATTAGGGCTCTATCTGAAGTGTGAGGAGTAAAAACTGGTTCCCATGATGTAGGCTCCCTATTTACCTCTTTTATTGTTTCTCTTGCTGAGAAAAAACTTTTTAGTTTAAGTAGGTCCCATTTGTTGATTCTTGTTATTAACTCTTGTGCTATAGGTGTCCTATTAAGAAATTTGGAGCCCGACCCCACAATCTGTAGGTCGGAGCCAACTTTTTCTTCTATCAGACGCAGAGTCTCTGATTTGATATCAAGCTCCTTGATCCATTTTGAGTTAACTTTTGTGCATGGTGAGAGAAAGGGATTCAGTTTCATTTTGTTGCATATGGATTTCCAGTTTTCCCAGCACCATTTGTTGAAGATGCTATCCTTCCTCCATTGTATGCTTTTAGCCCCTTTATCAAATATAAGATAGTTGTAACTTTTCAACAAATGGGCCAACGACCTGAACAGACACTTCTCAGAGGAGGACATACAATTAATCAACAAGTACATGAAAAAATGCTCACCATCTCTAGCAGTCAGAGAAATGCAGATCAAAACCACCCTAAGATACCATCTCACTCCAGTGAGATTGGCAGCCATTATGAGTCAAACAACAAGTGCTGGCAAGGATGTGGGGAAAAGGGTACACTTGTACATTGCTGGTGGGACTGCAAATTGGTGCAGCCAATTTGGAAAGCAGTATGGAGATTCCTTGGAAAGCTGGGAATGAAACCACCATTTGACCCAGCTATTCCCCTTCTTGGACTATTCCCTAAAGACCTTAAAAGAGCGTGCTATAGGGACACAGGTACAACAATGTTCATAGCAGCACAATTCACAATAGCTAGACTGTGGAACCAACCTCGATGCCCTTCAATAGATGAATGGATAAAAAAAAATGTGGCATTTATACACAATGAAGTATTACTCTGCACTAAAACATGACAAAATCATGGAGTTTGCAGGGAAACAGATGGCACTAGAGCAGATTATGCTAAGTGAAGCTAGCCATTCCCTAAAAAATAAATGCCAAATGTCTTCTTTGATATAAGGAGAGCAACTAAGAACAGAATAGAGAGGAAGAGCATGAGAAGATCACCACTAAACAGGGATGAGATGGGGGAGGGAAAGAGAGAGAGAAGGGAAATTGCATGGTAAAGGAAGGAGACCCTCATTGTTACACAAAATTACATATAAGAGGAAGTGAGGGGAAAGGGGGAAGAAAACAAGAGAGAGAAATGAATTACAGTAGATGGGGTAGGGAGAGAAGCCAGGAAGGGAGGGGATGGGAGGGGAGGGAAGGGGAGGAGAGGGAGGATAGTAGAGGTTAGGAAAGGCAGCAGAATACAACATACACTAGTATGGCAGTAGGTAAAATGTGGATGTGTAACCGATGTGAATCTGCATTATGTATATAGGGTAAAATGGGAGTTCATAATCTGCTTGAATCAAATGTATGAAATATGATATGTCAAGAACTTTGTAATGTTTTAAACAACTAATAAAAAAAGAAGTCATTTTAAAGAGGTCATTTCAGCACCTAAGTGCAGGTTAGTTTAGAGTAAAGAAGATGTTGCTTAGTGGCTCTAAGAAAAAAAATCATCTTATTTAGCCATTAATGTCTACATTTTTAGGTATTACCTGTTAGAGGCTTAGATCTTACAAGTTTTGGACTTGAAACAGTAGAAACTGTACATATGACACTTGAAAAATAATAGTTACGAACAAAGTATCCAGTGTGAAGATCAAAAAACAAATAATACTTGATCTGACATTGAGGCTAACCATAATAATGAGATACAAACTTACAAAGACAAGCTGAATGATGTGTGAGATACCATAAAAACAAACAAACACACAACTCAAAAGGGAGGTAAAGACAAGTTATAATTATAGCTGTCCTACCAGAATGAGGGAATGTAAGGAAAGGATGTTTTATCATTGAAATTTCATTGAGCTATACTGGGAGATAGAATATGAGCATATATGATAATATGGATTACCATGGTAAAATGGATTACTGGCAGAAAGTTAAATTACACACAAGACTTTGAGTGTAAAAATAAGCAAGGGACATAATTTTTAAATATCTGGCAGCTTTTTATTGGTAGAGACTATCAGCTATCATTAATTTAAATTTATTGGTGATAAGTTATGATTGTCAATACAGAAATTTTGTAGAATTAAGTACTGAAGAATAATAGACGAGCAGATGAAGGAAGTTGCATAAGAAGTCTACAGGGAATCAGACTGGCATCTAAAGGAAGCTAATTCAGGAGTCACAAAGGAGAAGAATCCCATATGTAATCAAAGTTTTGGAAATTGAAAACACTGCTCTACAGACAGTCTGTGACTGACTGGTAGAATTTAGTGCCTGGGCTTTGTGCAGCTCAAGCATGCTGCTTCCTCTGTTTGGAGTGGGAACAGACTTTAGGAGAACCACTCTGTAAGACAGAAGAGAGGATCAACAGATCCTAAGTAGAAAGAAAGAAATGCTAAGAAGGTTACCAAATGCTGAAATGTTTAAGGAAAATTAAAGCTTGGATAGTTTGGGATAGGAAGGTTAAAAAGTATGGTAAGTGGGAGAAGAAATTCTAGCACTGTAAGAACAGTATCAGTGTGACTCTTCATATGAGTGATGCTCCTAAGAGTTCTGGACAAATTACACCCTGGGACTTTCCTCCACTGTTGGTAAGAATGCAAGATGATACAACCTTTTGGGAAAAGTTCTTCCTTAAAAAAATAAACATAGACATACCACATGACCACAAACCACATTCATTATAGTATACAGTTGGAATCATGCTCATTCATTTATCATTGGTTTTTTTCTGTGCCTAATTTATGAATCAAGCTTCATTTTTATTTGCATATATGCATTTGTATATACGATAAAACAGTACATATAAGGTTAGGTAGTCAATGATGTCTGGCATCCATGAGGGATTTGGGAGTAAGAGGGTACCTGCTGTATACAGTGACAGAAAATAAATCAGTTAATTTTGTGGGATATGTGGCAGGATATGTGTGAAGAGGGGATTAACAGGGGTAGACTTTTGTGGACACTGGATAGATTCTCATGATTACAGTAATTATTTATTCTAAAGCTTTTAGAGATGGTATAGCATCCCATCCTCTGTAGTGAAATGGTGGGGCAACAGAAAAATACCAGGTTTACTCTGCTAAACAATCTCTTATTGAATGTCTAGCCACAGTTGCCTAATGATACTTTCCAACTGAGTATTTCACATTCACTCATTCATTGTTTATATACTCTTTCAGGCATTATCTTATAGACAAATATTTATTTATCTGTGTTATACATACCTAATACATACTTCATACTCAAATTGTATTGAACATGTTATCATTTCCCCACATTCTTCAGAAATTTTCTCTTCTTAACTTCTTAATCTTTGTTAACCATACCATTCTGTAACCATTTACCATAAAACTACATTTTTTCAGCTAATATTAATAAGGCGATATATTGTAATGAAAGGACTAAATATAAAAAGATGATTAAGATTCAACTCCTGCACTCAAGGATATTAAACTCTCGTGGTAGAATATTAATGTGTAAACAAAATGTGCTCATGTAATATATTGGTATAATCAGCAATGAGATGGACCAGCCTTATTCTGTCTTCAAGAGTCTAAGAAAGCTTTAAGGAACGATACATTTGAAGCATATCTTGAAGAATGAGTATAAATTTATTTCCTAGACAAAAGAATGAGAATGGCGTTTCAGTAAAGCAACATCATGAACACATGTCTGGGCAAAGATTAATACTTCTTGTGTAGTCACAGAGTTGTATTTAAGGGATTTTCAAATTGTCAGAATGCAATTCAAGTTGTTAGTTCTCAAAAAGTCCTAAAGACAAATAGGAACATCTGAATAGATACTAACAGGGAGGATGACCCTAAATGCATCATGATGTGA